CCGCCCGTCATACTTGAAGCTGTCGCACGTCTTCTGGCTTCGCGGGTGGCCTCTCAGGCTCCGGGGGGGCTCTGGGGCCCTCTGGGTGCGCCGTGGGCTCCTCCGGGGGCCCCTCAGGGGGCCTTCTTGGTGCCTTCTTGAGACTCTCTTGGGAGCCTTGGGACCATCTTGGAGTTCGATCAAGGAAGGGAGGGTTCCTCATGCGGCCACCCCCAGGGCGCTCTCTGACTCCTCCGGGCCCATTCGAATCGATTTCCCAGGGAGGCGATCCGATCCGACTCGATGCGAGCGTCCCGATGCACGATTTCGACTTCGCGTTCGCCCGATCAGACTCCTGCCGATTCGACGTTTCAGCCGACTTCTGCCGATGTCTTCCGATCCGGCTTCGCTCGGGGGGGGGGGGCAGAGACTTGGCATCGCTCGGACATGTGCATTTTTTCTCGGCGAGGACCATCGAAGAGCATCCTGGACCATCGAGCAAGAAAAACACGCACAAAACCGAAAAGCGCACAGGGAATGGACGTCCGAGCGACGGCAAGGAGAGGACCCTCGTCGACGACGGCGACGGCGGCGACGACGGCCCCTGCGGCGACGTCGACGGGGGAGGCGAGGCCGGCCGCAGGTCTCGGCCCTCGCCCGGGGAGGACGGAGGAGGAGGCAGGACCAGCCACGCGCAGAGGGGGGTAAGCAGGAGGGGGGAAGGCTTCTTAGAAGCACCCCGGCTTCTTAGAAGGCGCGGGCCTCCTTTGCAGATGCAAGGCCGGCGCCTTCCAAGAAGCAGCCTCCTCCTGAGAAGCCTTCCCCCCTCCCCCTACCCCCTTGTGCGCGCCGCCAAGAGGAGGGCGGGCGGAGGGAGGGAGGACGGACGCGGCGCTGACGGCAGTCCGCCGAAGGGCCCCCCAGAGGGGCCCCCGACTTCCCCGCACGGGCCCCCGAGGGGCCCGCAAGTCCCCCACTGGGGGAGGTACGTACCCCCCCCCCCCGGGGGGGTCTGTAACCACCCCCCCCCTCTGGGGGGGTCTGAACCCCCCCCTGGCGGGGTCTGCCCCCCCCCCCCCCCCCCCCAATAGGAGGGGGTTGTAAACCTCCCCCCCCCCAATAGGAGAGGGGTTGTAAACCTCCCCGGGGAGGGGGGAGGGGGTCCGCAAACCCATCCCAGGTGGGGTGTGTAAAACCCCGTCGGGGGGATTTGCTTCCCCCTCCCGCGTGGGAATCATTCTCTGAGGGGTCTGCGAACCCTGCACCCCTGGGGGGGGCCTGCAAACCCTCGCAGTGGGCTGCGAACCCTTCTCGGGGGGGTCTGTGAACCTTCTCCCGGGGGGGTCTGCAGCGCATGCGGTGGTGATCCCAACCGACTGGGCGTAATCCCAACCAAGTGGGGGTAATTCCAACCAGCGAGAACCACACACTGGAAGTAGTTCCAACCGTTTGCTTTGAGTGCACTTTTTTGTTGATCGCGGGCGACGCAGGCAGCTGCGCGCCGTCTGAGAGGTCGTGAGAGTGCAGGCCAAGCGCAGGCAGCACGCGGAAAAGGGGGCCACAACGGTGGCGAAAACGAGGCAACGGAAGCGGCGGACAAGAAAACACGGGAGGAGCAAGAAGACGAAACGAGAGGGGCGAAAAGAAAAGAAAACACGAAAGAGAGAGAGAGAGAGGAAACGCGCCGCAGCTCAAGCCCAGGCCACGCCGAGGACGAAAGCCCCTTGCCGAGGAGCCGGAGCCGGAACTTGTAGTAGAGCGTGCTTTGATTGCACGAACAACCTCACAACAGGATTTTATGTGTGAAGCATTGTTCATCTACTCCTCCGAACCAAGTGGTCGGTTTATGTGTGCGCATTTATTCGGGAACGCAACATGGCTGCCTCAGTTGGAACTACACCCAAAACGCCTTGCGGGCGACTTGTGTGGTGTGTGCGGTGTGTGCGGTATCCGCTGTGTGTGTGTGTGTGTGTGTGTGTTTGTGTGCAGTGTGTGCAGTGTGTGCAGTGTGTGTGTGTGTGTGTGTGTGTTGCGTGTGCGATGCGTGGGGTGTGTGCGGTGCGTGTTGCGTGTTCGGTGTGCGGTGTGTGCGGTGGTGCCGTGCTGTATGGCTGTATGGTGCACCCTGGGATCTACCATGTGGCATTACATCTGACGTACCAGATGCTACGACGTGCTATCTATCATAAAAAACCACGCGTGACGTAGCATATGGGCACACGTATGATGAGTCAGATGTTGCTAATTATGAGGTGCTATGTGATAGCACCTATGATGTGTCACATGATGCTGCATATGATGTCTCGTGCGACGATACTACTCATCACGTATCGCATCTCGTATCATATGGTATCACCGGAGGACCCCCTCAGACGCCTTTCGGGAGCCCCTCAGAAGCATCTCGGAAGCCCTTCAGAAGCCTCTCAGGAGCCTCTCAGAAGCCTCTTAGGAGCCCCTCAGAAACCTCTCAGGAGCCCCTCCAAAGCCTCCCAGAAACCTCTCAGGAGCCCCTCAGACGCCTCTCGGAAGCATCTCAGAAGTCCCTGAGAAGCCTCTCAGAAGCATCGCCTCTCAGAAGCCTCTCAGAAGTCTCTCAGAACCCCTCTCAGAAGCCTCTCAGAACCCTTCTCAGAAGCCTCTCAGAAGACTCTCAGAAGCCTCTCAGAAGATTCCCAGAAGCTTCTCAGAAGCCTCGCAGAAGCCTCGCAGAAGCCTCTCAGAAGATTCCCAGAAGCCTCTCATAATCCTTTCAGAAGCTTCTCGGAAGCGTCTCAGAACCTTCCGCGAAGCTCCTCAAAAGCTTTCAGTTTCTCATAAGCTTGGGTGGTTGGAAGTAGATCCATTTTGGTTGGGACAAGTACTGAAGTGGTTGGGATTATGTTTAGTTGGTGATAATTTCTCCAATTTCCGGTCTGCACCCCCCTTGTGTGTGTGTGTGTGTGTGTGTGAACCCTCCCTGGGGGAGTTTGTGAACCCCCCTCCCAGAGGGAGTCTGTGAACCCCCAGGGGGGGAGTCTGTGAATCCTCCTGGGGGATTTTGCAGTGCGGACCAGGCTAGGCAAGCTTCGACGACGTTCGACGACTCACGACGACTCACGACGACGCTTGCGACGACGTTCGACGATGTCGGACCACGCGCGACGACGGTCGACGGACGCTCGGGCGACCATCGCGACGACGTTCGACGATGTCGGGGGACGGGGATTCAACGAGTCCCACGAGAGGACGCGCGGATTGTGCCTGCCCATTTGGATTCCGATCCGGCGTCCGTCCAGCCGATCTCCGACTCGATCCGACTCTGCCCTGCCGGCTCCTGCCGACGTCGATTGGCAGCCGACTTCTGCTGATTCCTGCCGACTCGATGTTCGGGTCGACCCGACTCGACTCATCGATTCGATGCTGGGCCCCCCTGCACCCCCCTGGAACCCCAGGAGTCGCCCCAGTCGCCTCTTGGTGCCCTCCTGGGGCACTCTTGGAGCGCTCCTGGAACTGTCTTCGGGCCCTCCTGGGGCCCCTGCTATTGCAAGCGACAGGGGGCGGCGGATCGAGTTGCCGTCGGCCCATCCCGCCGCCTTGCCTGGGTTGTGGGCCTCCTCGGTGCCTCTTCGGGCATCGTGGGCGCTTCTGGGATCTCTTGGGAGCACGCTGGGAGAGTCGGGGGCAGCATGCGGGGAAGAGGCCCTCGGGCCCCCCCTCCGATTCCCCCTGCTTGGGGCACTTTCGGAGGCCTTTGGATTGGGCCCTCCTGCGCCGCTCTTGGGGCATGTGGGGCCCTCCCGGGCCGTCTTGGGGGCCTCTTGAGCCATTGGGGGGGGGCGATCTTGGGGGCCTTTTGGGCCGTCTTGCAGTGTCGGCAACTCGAGCGGGCGACACTTCCGCCAAGACCATGCAGGTGGGAAGGATTCTGGCCTCTCGGGGCGGCTTGCCGGGCTCTGGGCCGTCACCCGAGGCACTCCTGGGGCGCTGTTGGGCCGTCCCGGGGGCCCTCTTGGGCCGTCTTCGGGCCCCGCTGGGCCGTCTCGGGACCCCCCTGGAGGAGCTCGATCAAAGAACGGGGGGGTCTTTCTTGAGGTCTCTTGAGGCCACCCGTTTTGGAACCCCAGAAGTCGCCTCTTGGCGCCTCTTGGCGCCCTCCTGGGGTCTTTTGGGGCCCTCTTGGGATCGTCTTGGGCTCTCTAGTCCGCCGGGCGTCTCTTGGGATCGTCTCTTGGGGCCTTCTCGGGATCGTCTTTGGGGGCCTTCTTGGGATCGTCTCGGGCTCGTTTGGGGGCCTTCCTTGGGGTCGTCTTTTGGGGGCCTTTAGGGGGCCTTCTTGGGATCGTCCTGGACTCTCCAGGCTCGGGGCAGGTCGCCCCGCGCCGCGGGTCGTGTATAGGGCGCCCCGGGAGTGCCGCGAGGTGGCCCCCGGGGGCTGAGGCCGTGGGCCTCGGACGGAGCACGCACGCTGAAGTCGGGCGTGCCTCTCTCTCTACAGGGTGGGTGTTCGAAAATAGTATAAAATAGTCGGGGGACCATTTGTTTGACCCCTGTTGCACATTTTGGGGGTATGTTTGGAGTATTTTGTTTTTAATTTTTCGCCCAACATCCCCCTGTAGGGGGACACGCCCGACTTAAACGCACGCACGATGTTCAGCAAGGGCGTGACAAAAACGCCCTTGCCCCGGTTTGCGAGGCCCTGTGCGCTGGACGTCCGGTGGGCTGACAGGGTACACCCTGCGTGCCGCGCGGCGCCCTGGCGGCTCTCTTGCTTGCGGGAGCCCTCGGGAGGTTTACAGACCACGCACTTGCAACCCAGAGGGGGGGCTTTTTTTTCTCTCTCCTAAAGTTAAACTTTCTTTCCGCATCGTTTGACTTACCCCCAGACCCAGTTGGGAATGGGCCCCTCGAGACCCAAAGGGAACAGGCTACATCCCCATCCGGGGGGGCCAAAGCGGCCAGTGGGCCCAGGCCAAGCCAGTGGGGAAAGGGATCGTGTAAAGATGCTCAGTGCCTACGACACGGTGGCGGATTTGGCTGCCCAGCAGATTCTGAGGGAGCTCAGGGACTTGCCCGAGATGGCGGGGAACAGTGAGAATGAGGCGCTATTTCTGCACGCCACCGCGTGCGAAATCTACAACGGTAAGGTTTTCGATTTAGTTCGGTGAAGATGCAAGGACAAAGCACAACTTTTCGGAAGTCCGCGCGGATTTCTTAGGTCGCCGCTGGCTCCCCTGACGCGCGGAGCGCAGGCGGCGTCGGAGGCGCTGCCAGGGGGCTCCAGCGCAAATCCGAGAACTCTGCGCAGACCTCCGAAATGTTGTGCTTATGTAGTTCTTCGTTCCCCGATTATTGGGTGCGGAGAAGTTGGAGTGCACGTTGCGCACAGACGAGGCAGGGACTTTGAAAGTATTAGGGCCCGCAGTAACAGTCCGCGTCGACGAGTTGGAGAAACACGTCAACGTGCTCGTGGGGCAGTTGACGGATGAGCAGCTCAATGAAATGCAACAGGCCAGAGACCGTTTCGATGAAACAGGGATGCCGTCTGTTTTCGATGGCACGTTGCATTCTACAGCTACGACAAGGTCGGAGGGATTGCGCTCCGTGTCCGTATTTTGTCTCGATGATTTGGAACGCATCAGTCGAAGCTGTTTGCAGAATCGCGCCATTGGCACTTCTACTCAACATGAGGAAAGTAGCCGGTCGCATGCGGTCCTTCGAATGGAAATCGTGACCCAAGCGGTGCTGGATGCGCGACAAGCTCTGGATGATGCTCGGGCGCTGCTTCCAGCGTTCCAGAACGCGCTGGACAACCTCACAAACGTCGCCTGCAAGCTGCTGTTCGAGAGGGACCCCTACGGGCGGTACAACGCCATCGGCTGCACGGACCCCTGTGGACGATGCAGCGCTGAGGGCCCCGCTCCGGACCCGATCTGGGATCCCGAGGACTCGGGCGGCCTCCGCAGGAGGCACTTCCGGGAGCCCGGCCTCTGGGAGTCCCGGCACGCGGCCCTGCGCGCGCAGAGGCGGGGCCTCGAGGAGTCCCTGGCGGGCGCGCGGGCCGAGGCCAAGCGAGCGAGCGGCGCCCTGGCGGCGCTGCTGGAGCGCGGCCCCGCCTCGCTGGGCGGCTCGCTGGTGCTCGTGGACCTCGCCGGGGCGGACTACGACCACCGCGCCGGCGCCCAGCAGAGGGAGTCGGCAGAGATCAACAAGAGCCTGCTCGCGCTGAAGGATCCGGGCCTCCCAGGTCGAAGCCGGGCGCGTCCCTCTCCAGGAGGAGTATGCGAAAGTGGTCAAAGGGTAGGCGGGAGACTTTTTTCTCCACCATGTTTGATCATGTTTGAACATGTTTTGGCTATTCCGATTTTTCTTTTCTCTCCCAAAACCCGCCCGTAGGAGGACACGCCCGACTTAATCCCAGGTGGGGCCCGAGGAGATGAGGTCGGAGGATGGCGCCGCATCGCCGATGCATCCGCGATGCGGCTCGGTGTGGAGCCTGGCTTTCCGTCGCGACAGGCCCCCATAGAGCTGCCGCAGAAGAATCGCGGATTGCTTTTTGGGGAGGTTCTCGAGAGGGCTTGTTGTGGCCGTTTTTTCTTGGTCGCTTTATTCACGGCATCGCTCGGACGCGTGCGTTTTTTCTTCGGCAAGGACCATCGAGGAGCATCCTGGATGATCTGGAAAAACCACGCACGAGACCGAAAACTGCACGGGGAATGGACGTCCGAGCGATGGTGAGGTAGAGGGTGCTCCGCCAAAGGGGCTTCTGCCTACCCCCCGAAGGAGTGCCTCCGTGCCCTCGCCAGCAAGTCTCCGCAGAGGCCGAAGTTCAGGGACTCCAAACTCACGCGGATCATGGAGGACTCGCTGGCGCCCGCCGCGGCCAGCGGCCGCCGCTGCCGCGAGAGCACGAGCGTCATGGTCGTGAACGTGTCGCCTGCGGCAGAGGAGACTGCTCTTTTTCTCGGGTCCGGTGATCAAGCCCGTGTGACCGGGCCCACCCGCCCCTCCCCCTCCCCCCCAAGACTTAAGTCGGGCATGTCCCTCGACAGAAGGAATGTTCAACAGGGACGATTTTTCTAGTTTTCACTTTAGATATTCATGGTTTTCCTCCAAAATCCGCCTGTAGGAGGACATGCCCGACCTAACCCCAGATAACCCGACCTTGCCCGCGGCGCAGGTCCGAAGGGGTTGCGCAGTGCTGGTGCGCGCGGGCATACGTTGGGCTGCCCAGAGCGAAAACAGTAAGGTCATCGGCCGGCCCCTCCCCACCCCCCCACCACACCAGAGAGAATCTGGGCCTTCGTCCTCCTCCGCCTCCTCCTCCTCCTCCTCCTCCTCCGCCTCCTCCTCCTCCCTCTCATCCTCCTCGTCCTCCTCCTCCGCCTCCTGCTCCTCCTCCTCCTCCTCCTCCTCCGCCTCCTGCTCCTCCTCCTCCTCCTCCTCCTCCTCCTCCTCCTCCAGCTGGAGAAGATGACGCTGAACACGCTGCGGTACGGCCAGCTGTATGCAGAGGGTGCTCGCGGCGTAGCTGCCAGAGCGAAGCCCGGCGCCGCAGCCGGCAGGGCCGTGGCGCGGCCGCGCGCGGACGACAAGCCCAAACAGTAGCCCATTCAAACTAGCGCATGCTGGTGGTGTGGTCCGGGAGGTGTCCTCGGCGGCGAAGTTTGAGCCCTGCTCTCGCCGATCAACGATTCCGGGAACCTCGATGGGCGGCGGGGGTAGGGTTCGGAATTCGTCGAATGCGCGGCGAGATCCGAACCCTACCCCCGCCTCCCATCGATTCGAGAGTTTCGATGGTTGGTGGGGGGTGCGGTTCGGATGTCGTCACCTGTGTCTGATGTTGCGCCTTCAGGGAAATTCCTGCTCCAGTGCTTCCCAGGCTTACGAGATTCTCCAGCGATGTTTTGGGCGTCTTGAGCATGCCCGCATTGGGCGCCCCGTTCTGGCTCCTTGCCTCGTCTGCTCCCCATCCTCCGTGCGTACTTCACCGCTGGCCAGGCGTTTCTCAGTCGACGTGGCAGCATTGCTGTACTAATACCTGGCGGTTGGTGCAGACATCGTGACATGATGGCGTTAGCAGACATCATGCGACACTCTTGGGGTCATGCCGACCATGCGCACGAGTTCCGATTTCCATGGAATTGCGCGGCCGTCGAGCCGACTTTCCGTGCTTAATTGCGGTGTGGCGGTGATAGGTGTTCGTCTCTCGCATAAACAATCGGGCGCGCACCTTGTTACCCCTCTCGATCCAGTTACCTTCGACGTCACCTCGTGGCGCTACACTGCAATCCGCCTTCTCACTGACCGCCCGTCTGCGCCCTCGTCTGCGACCTCACCTCTCCCAGCAGGATGTCTAGGGAGGGACGCGTCTTGCCTGCTCGAGGCTCTGTCGAAGTAGATAGAGCCTCTCGTGGGGATGGCGGGGGGGCGCCTGCTGCTGCTGTTGCTACTGCTGCTGCTGCTGCTGCTGCTGCTGCGGGGAGGGGGAGGGGAAGTAGTCAAATTCGCTCTGGTCGTGGACGGGGTCGAGGTCAGTCCTCGAACCTTCCCCCCTCATGCTCCACAGTGTTAGGTTTCAAGAGCTCTTGAATTCAGGACTTCCCCAGTAATTTATAAAACATTCTGAGGAGTCAGTTTCGGGGCAAGAAGCTCCAACAGTGATTTCACCCCGGGCCGAGCGCGGTGTTTCTGGTCCCTCGGCTGGCCCCCCAGCGTTCCCCTGGAGGGGGTGCCAGTAACGAGGGCAGTGCGACCCTGGTTGCCGAAAGCGCTAGCCCGTTGTGAGTCGATAGGTTCTTTTACGGACCCCTCAGATTTCGAGTAATCGGCAGTTTAGTCGTCGTTCAGGTGGTAGAGCAGATCAGAACTCCGCGAGATGTATCGGTACCAGTATCCCTGCAAGATGTTTCTGCCTGTTGTTTCGTCGTTCTCCTCCTCGTTGTCGCCCTCCCCCACCGCTGCTTTTCCTCCGTTCTGATTTGATTCGTGCGCGTCTTGCCCTCATCCTCATTGCGCTCTCCCTCCGCTCACCCTCTCGCCCCCTGCTGTTTCTCTACCTCCCTCCCCTGTTCCCCTTCTGGAGCATTGACCCACTCACACCTGCTGTTGCTTGCCGCCGCTGCCTGCTTCTCTTGGCATTACTGCTGGTATTGGTGCTCATGCTCCCACACTTCGCACTGCTCATTGTTCTCCTGATGCTTCTAGCTGCCGCTGTTGCCGTTACTGCCGTAGCAGCCGTAGACACAACGCACGGCGGGAGCATTACTCCTTCTCATGCTCCCGATGCCACTCGCGTTCCCGTTGTTTTGTTGTGTTCGTATCCAGGTACACTTGGCATTCACCTTTACGGAGCTTATCTGAGGTCGTTCTTCACGGATATTGGCGTTGGAAAAAAGAAAGCTCCCGTTCCAGTCTTTTCTCCTCTCACTACTATTGCACCTGCTCATCTCCTCACGTTCCACGTCTGCTCCTACCTCTTCTGCTTGCGCCCGGGTCTCACCACGACCACGACCGCCACGACCACGTTCTTTATCCCCATCACAAATATGGTGGCCTGCGGCCCTTCCCGCCGCCGTGCTGTGTGGGCTTCCGGAAGGTCTGCAACAAGCCACTCGGGCCATTCGTTGGGGCTTCTGCAGGGTCTCCAGAAGAGAGGGCCCGGGGAGTTTGAGTGTCGTCTTGGGCGGGAGATGTCCGGGGCACCCAGCGCACCCCCGGCTGCCGAAAGTTGTAGAGAATCCACTTGATTTGCACAGTTGGATTTTCCAGGGGGCTCACGCGGTTCCACCCGGGGCGACTGCATCATCCACCGCGATCATAGTGTCGAGTGTGAACATGTGCATCCCTACCACAAGGTTTACCGCATACAACAACGCATGTGGGTTGAAGGCGTGTTTCGCCCGCACGCGGGAATCACTTTGGAAAGGGTTCCAGGGGCACGGACCATCAGAAATCATGTGGGTGATGTTCGATCACAGACATTATTTCCCAAGGCCCTACCAGTCCTCTCCAAGCCATCGTTCGATTTGCACCCGCCGTCCAAACCACACTGCTGAGGGCAATCAACGCCCCATCTGAGTGTGATTATCCTTGTGCCAAAGTCCCCTGTGCGCAGGTTGTTTGCAAACTGCGTTGTGCATTCTAGCTGTATGGGTGCAGGCATGTCGCAGGGACATGCTTACCAAGTCGCAGTAGCCGTCGTAGTAGCCCGCAGCAGAGGCGGAAGTAGAAGTGGCAATAGTTTTTGTAATTGTCGTAGTCCTAGTCGTATGGGTGGCAGCAGGAGTAGTGGAACGAATCGAGGATTTAGCTATAGCAGCGTAGATGGCGTATGCATCGGACTGGTAGCAGCCGTCGTCTAACGTGTTAGCTGCCATGGAAGGCGAGAAGACGAAACTAGTCGTTATAGCAGCAAGAGTATTGATAATACTATCACTGACGTTGGCAGGTCACGTTGGAACATCGGTTGGCGAAGCCAGAGTCGCAGCCACATCTCTACTATCATCAGCAGTGGCAGCATACTCAGGGTATTGTTTACGCTAGTATTACTAGTCGTGCCAGCGTCGGTGCTCATTTTGATGTTCGTGCCCTCGCTGGTGTAAGTGGTCGTGCTGCCAGGAACGGCAGTTGCGTTGGCAGTGGTAGTCGCAGCAGTAGGTGCACGAGCCGCGGAAGTTGCAGGTGCAGTCGTCGTTGCAATACGTTCCCCACATAGTAGCGTTTGAACTTGAGGGTCCTTGATGGTATTTCAGCGTTGGCCCTGTCTTGTACAGTGGCCCTTTGTTGTTGAGACCGCCACGGGTTTGGCAGCTTGGACAACAATGATTCGACATGTTTTGCGCGGTCGGCCGTTGTTGTTGGGACCTGTGTGGCCTCGGCTGCCTGGATCGCTATGGCCTGCCTTGCCATGTTGACCTTCGTTGCTCGGAACGTTGCGGTGCTGGCTGCGTGGGCCGCCAGCGCCTGCCTTGCCAGGTCGGCCGTTGCTGCTGGACCCCCTGCTGCTCTGTAGCTGATTGGACCGCTGTGAGCCGTGTACCGCCTGCGCATCGGGGTGCTTTGGGGCCAATCTGTCATTACTCCACCTGGGGTCCACATGCCGGGGTCTGCCCGCACGGGGTTCCAAGCACATCGCTGCACGAGTCAACTGTTCCGGGTGCGCGTTCGCAGCATAGACCTGCACCCACGGGAGCAATCGTTGTAGCCCGAGCCGCAGTAGTGGCTGCAGCGGTAGTTTTGTTATTCGTGGTGGTCGAAGTCGGAAACGTAGACGATGTGTTGGTTCTAGTGCGTATGTGTGTGATTGCCTTGCGGGATTTGGCATTTGCAGCCGCAACTTTGGCACTCGCGGCTGTAGTGGTCACAAACCTCGTAGTGTTCGCAGGAATTACTGCGAGTGTAGTAGCAGTGGCGACGATGGTAAAAACAGCAGCAGTCGCGCTGATAGTAGTCGTAATCTCATATTTTACCACTACCAGTCTAGATGCCGCACATGATGTAGCTGTGCTCAGTTGCATTGTGAAGTTCAGTAGCGGCGCCATTGGTTGCAATAGTAAGGATGGTTGGCGAAGTGGTCGTAGTTGTCGCATCGCCCGTGGCAACGACATTTGAGCGTGAGTAGCAGTAGTAGTCGCAGCCGCAGTGGTTCTATCCATCGTAATGACATTGCTGTATGTGCAGATGGTACGGAGGATGTAGTGGTGATGGTATTGGCTGCAGTGATCATATACTTTTTGCACTGGTCGTAACATCTGAATGCGATACAACCATACGTATACGCAAGAGCGGGCAGCGCTCAGCCAGACCCCAAAGGCGGAGATGTGCATGGCGTGTGTGTGTGTGTGTGTGTGGTTGACGCTTCCCGTCGTGCTGGCTGCGTGTGGTTGTTGCTGATTCGTTTTCCTCTTCCTCCCCGTCTGCAGCGGGGTTTCTTGTGGGCCTCCTGGAGACCTAGGGGGCGGCCTCTTCGCTTTTTGTGCAGCAAGCTCTCGGTGACTTTTGGGTCCCCAGGACCCCTCAGGGAATCCCCCCCGAGTCTCCTGGGTTCCGTGAAGACCTCCTCACCCTGAGAAGCTGCCCAGATCAATGCAAAGCCAACCAATGCAATGCAATTTGGCGCAACGCAAATCAGTTCAAAGCAACTGTGCAACACGCATAATACAATGCGGTCGAAATCAAGGACACCGCAACATTATGTATAGCAAACCGTAACAACACAATGGCACGCAGTGCGAAGCAACGCGAACCACACACTGGCCTAATAACATTACATGTGGCACGTCTGTATTTGTATATGTACATATAGCTATCTATCTCTCTTTCTCTCTCTCCCTGTCTCTCTCATGTGTTTGTGTTTGCTCTCTCTCTCTCTCTCTTTCTCTCGCTCCCCCTCTCTTCCCTCAGCGCTCAGGAAGCACTCATATGCGACCACTGTGTTCTTTGGACCCCAGGTGATAGCTCAGCTACCCCTGATGTTGATGGCAGCCTGCCATCAGGAGAAAGACTACCCCTATTGGAAGTCGCGCCAGGATCATCATCTCGAACACTTCTAGCTGCCATGCCCGAAGCCATTCTGGCCGAGATTTCGTCTTGCTCTGGCTGCCTGAGGCTGCTTCGGAAGTTCACTTCCGCCTCGCAGGGAAGAGGCCTGGCCACAGAGATGGTCGCAGCGATTCCGCGTGTGTGGCTTGGCCTCTGCGCCGTCCTGTCCCTCGGGACCGCTGCCGCCGACACGGGCCCAGCCCAGGCTTGGCAGTCTCTCCTCATCTTTCTCATCCTCCTCATCCTCCTCATCATCCTCCTCATCATCCTCCTCATCCTCCTCCTCCTCCACACCTCTGCTCCTCCTCCTCCTCCTTCTCCTCCTCCTGCTCCACCCTCCTCCTCCTCCTCCTCCTCCTCCTCCTCCTCCACCCTCCTCCTCCTCCTCCCTCCTCCTCCTGACTCCTCCTCCTCCTCCTCCTCCTCCTCCTCCTCCTCCTCCTCCTCCTCCTCCCCCTCCTCGCCCCTCCTGCCGCTGCTTCTCCTCCTCGCCCCCCCCCCCTGGAGGAGAAGAACGGCAGCCTGGAGGAGGAAGAGGCGAACGAGACGCTGCAGACGCAGGCCGAGGAGCTGGCGTGCCTGCGCTGGGAGGGCGAGGGCGGCTGCGAGGCCCTCCGCGACCAGGCGCGGTGCCTCGGCGGGCGCGACGGGAGGCCCTGGGCGGCGTGGAAGGGGCTGCTGGTCGCGGGCCAGCCCTGCTCCTGGTGTGGGGGCGAGAGGTGCTCGGCCACGCGTAAGAGTGGCCCTTACCGGCCTCGAACGTATCCCTACCCCTGAGATTGACACGCCAGAAGGCGATGACAATCTTAGGGATCCGCCCTCAAAAAGAGGGGAACCCCTAAGATTGGCACCGTGATG